CTCGCGCCTGCGCACTGCCCGCCCGTGAAGGCGCGGGGCGGGGCCAGGGAGAAGCAGGGCGGGGTCAGGCGCGGCGGGGCGCCACGCTATGGCGCCGCCTGGCGGTGGCCGCAGATCGGCTGCGGAGTTGCGGGGGGGGCGCTCATAGACTGGTGCGGGCCGGAAGGGACCTCCAAAGGTCATCTAGTCCCACCTCCCGCAGCCAGCAGGGACACCCCGACTGGAGCAGGTGGCCCAGGGTCTTGTGGAGCCTCACCTTGAATATCTCCAGGGAAGGGGCCTCAACCACCTCTCTGGCAACCCGTACCCGTGTTCCACCACCCTCATAGTAAAGAACTTGTTCCTAATCTCCAATCTAAATCTGCTCTTCTCCAGTTTAAAGCCATTGCCCCTCGTCCTGTCACTGCAGGCCTTTGTAAACAGACTCTCCCCAGCCTTCCTGTAGCCCCCCTCAGGGACTGGAAATCTGCTATGAGGTCTCCCCAGAGCCTCCTCTTCTCCAGGCTGAACAACCCCAGCTCCCTCAGCCTGTCCTCGTAGCAGAGGTGCTCCCAACTCCTGGTCATTTTCGTGGCCCTCCTCTGGATCTGCTCCATCAGGTCCATGTCCTTTCTATATTGAGGGCTCCAGGCCTGCACACAGTGCTCCAGGTGAGGTCTCACCGGAGCAAAGTGGCAGAAATCACCTCTGTGGATCTGATAGCAACACTTCTTTTGATGCCATGAGTGGGCAGTGCAGACCCTGAACCCCAATCAATGAGAAACATCCCCATCCCTCCCCAGCAGAGCTACACCTTGGGCTGGTGGGTGACAGGGGGATACGCCTGAGAAAAGGTGACCTGGGGGTGTTGAGTGACAGCCAGGTGAATACCAGCCAGCAGTGTGGCCAAGTGGCCAACAGCATCCTGGCCTGTGTCAGGAATAGTGTGGCCAGCAGGGCTAGGGAAACTATCATGTCTCCCCCGTACTCAGTGCTGGTGAGGCCTCACCTCAAACACCGTGTTCAGTTTTCAGCCCCTCACAGGACAAGATATTGTGGTGATGGAGCGAATCCAGAGGAGGACAACGAAGTTGGTGAAGGGTCTGGAGCACAAGTCTCATGAGCAGAGGCTGAGGGAACTGGGGGTGTTCAATCTGGAGAAAAGGAGGCTGAGGGGAGACCTTCTCACTCCCTACAACTCCCTGAAAAGGGGTTGTAGCCAGAGGGACTCAGTCTCTTCTTCCAAGGAACAGGCGACAGGACAAGAGGAAATGGCCTCAAGTTGTGCCAGGGGAGGTTTAAGATGGATATTAGAAAACATTTCTTCACCAAAAGGATTTTGAAATATTGGAACAGGCTGCCCAGGGAAGTGGTGGAATCTCCATCCCTGGAGGTATTTAAAAGTCAGGTAGACGTGGTGCTGAGGGACATGGTTTCGTGGTGGTTTTGTCAGTGTTAGGTTAATGGTTGGACTCAATGATCTAACAGGTCCCTTCCAACCTAGACAACTCAATGATTCTATGGTCACTGGGGACAAGCAACACCCCCAGAGCTCTCCATGTGGTCTGTCCACCCTGTGAGCAGGAGGCTGCGTCCCTGTGTCTGCGAGCAGCACCTGCAGGTCCCCACCATGCCCCTTGCACAGGAACCAGCCCCAGGGCTCTTTTGGCCGCAGCATCCTCCACCATTGCTCCCACCCCACTTCCACTCACCCCCAAGCTCCAAGCCCCATCCCTGCTATTTCAAGGGAAACAAATGCCACCCCCCAGGTCACTCCCAGCATCAAGAAGCACCAGCTCCTCTTCCTCGTAAAAAGATTTATTAAGAACCTGCAGTAGCTGCCTGAAAGGAGGATGCTGCCCTGGCACGGGCGCTGTGTGGTGGCAGGGAGCGGAGTGAGAGGATTAGCGCTTCTCCAGGCAAAACAAACCCGGGTCAGACCCAGCAGCAGGATGACAGGGAGCGAGTGGAGGGCACAGAAAGGTGGTGGCAGCACATCTGCTTGGCAGAGGACCTCCCGCCGGGGCAGCCCAGCAGTAGTTAAGGCGTATAAAGTGCTTGGAGGAAGACCAGCCCTACGGCGGAGCTAAATAACTCAAGCAGAGAGGGACAGCGAGGGATGCAGGTGGCTGGTGGGTCACCTGCACCTCCACCCTGTGGGGACCTGGCATAAGAGGGTGACATTGACACCTGCCCTGCCTGGAGCTGCAGGCAGGAAGGATGCTGCCTGCCCATGCCTCGGCCCCCAGATACAACCAGGAGATGGGCTGCAGGGTCCCCACATAGGACCCAGGCTGCTGGTCTTCATGGTCATCTCCCAGTCCACCCCATGGCCAGGTTGCTGCTCCACGTTGTGGGGGTGCTTCTGCCGATGCAACTAGGTAAAAAACAACCACCCCCAGGCTGGGGTTAGCTCCACGGCCACCCTGTCCAGGGCAGGGGACACCCAGGTGAAGAAGTTGGGGACAGCAGGACAGCTGTAGGAGCCTTTCTGTGTGTAAGCAGGGGAGGGGGGACACGGAGCGGGGGTACAGGGGCTGCCTCCTCCTGGCAAGGAGAGGGATGCACCTCAAAGGAACGCGGTGGGACAAGACAGGGTGCAACTGGATGAGATGAGACAGGGGACCAAAGTGGTGGGGAGAGGAGGGACGTCCCTACCCCTCACTGGGACTGCAGGGAGAAGGCCAGCTTGACGCAGGCGAGCTCCTGCCCACCACTGCTGACGGTCGCCCGGACACGGTAGTTGCCGTTGGTCATCCAGGAAGGCAGCTCCACGTCGGGAAGGTCGAAGTCACTGGCTGGCAGGGAGTAGGAGCCCTGTGGAGAGAGGGGACACATAGGCAAGACGTCAGCTGAACCCCTCATCCCTGCGCCAAAGGGCATGGTGGTACCCACTGGCGCTGCTGGCATCCCACCAGTGCTGCCAGTGTCCCACCAGTGCTCCTGGCACCCCACCAGTGCTCCTGGCACCCCACCAGTGCTCCTGGCACCCCACCAGTGCTCCTGGCACCCCACCAGTGCTCCTGGCACCCCACCAGTGCTCCTGGCACCCCACCAGTGCTCCTGGCACCCCACCAGTGCTCCTGGCACCCCACCAGTGCTCCTGGCACCCCACCAGTGCTCCTGGCACCCCACCAGTGCTCCTGGCACCCCACCAGTGCTCCTGGCACCCCACCAGTGCTCCTGGCACCCCACCAGTGCTCCTGGCACCCCACCAGTGCTCCTGGCACCCCACCAGTGCTCCTGGCACCCCACCAGTGCTCCTGGCACCCCACCAGTGCTCCTGGCACCCCACCAGTGCTCCTGGCACCCCACCAGTGCTCCTGGCACCCCACCAGTGCTCCTGGCACCCCACCAGTGCTCCTGGCACCCCACCAGTGCTCCTGGCACCCCACCAGTGCTCCTGGCACCCCACCAGTGCTCCTGGCACCCCACCAGTGCTCCTGGCACCCCACCAGTGCTCCTGGCACCCCACCAGTGCTCCTGGCATCCCACCAGCTGGGCTTTCAGGCGTACCGCTTTGAAGGGGCAGTGGCAGGGGATGCCATAGGTGAGCAGGGGCTCCGGGCAGGTGGTGCCAGGCGGGATGAGGTTGTCGAGGACGGTGCAGACATCGTCGTAGGTGCAGCTGCCCAGCTGGTCGATGCAGGGCAGCTGGATCCACAGGTCGCCCAGTGCCTTCTCTACCACTAGCACCGCCTGGAGGGAAGATACTCAGCACCAGTACAGCCAGCATGGACACCCACAGCTCCTCCAGCCTGTCCCATCCCACCATCCCAGCCGCCTCCCTCAGTTCCTGCTCGTGCAGTTCTTTGGGGTGTCCATCGGGCCACCGCACACCCTCCTGCCTCCCCCTCCTGCTTTCGGTTCCTCTCTGCCTGCAGGTTTCTCTTCCTCCAACCTCAGCTTGACCCCTGAGAAAACACGTCCCAGTATCCCACACACCTGCTCCTTCCCCTCTCCTCGGTGGCCTGTCCCAAAACCACCCAGCAGTTCCCACCGCCTCCATGTCTCCCCGCCACCCCAAACAGCCTCCGTGGCATTGCTCGAGGCAGCCCAGGCATGTTGGGTACAGAGACACGTTTGGTCTCATTCCAAAACATCCCCAAAAAGTGGCACAGGGCAGCCAGGCCAGCCCAGGGCTCCTGCAGCAGTGCCATGGCACATCCCTGGAGGGTCATCCAGCCCTGGCTGCTGAAAAACGAGTGCTGCAGTGACTGCCAGGAGCACCCAGGGTGCTTGGAGCTTCATTTCCCTCCCTGAGTCATCGTGTCTCCAGGACACCACCCAGCTGAGGTGGTTTCTCCCACTGGATCAAGGTTGGGAGCTTCCCACAGGGCTGTCTGCTCCCACCACGGGTGTCCCCGTGCCCATCGCCCTGTTCTGGCTTACAGAGCCTGGTGTGCTCTGCCCTGCACCTCTCCGTGCATCCTTCCCCCAGGGGCTGCTAGTTCCCATACCCACTGCTGGGCATTTCCCAGTTGCCACTGGTTCTGGGAAGCTCTGCCCTCTCCTCGACCCATGGAGGCATCTCCAGCACGTACCTTCAGGGGGGAGGCCATGGCCTTGCTGCTGCTGACGGCCGCGCTAACGCGCAGGCTCCCCGGGATGCTGATGGGGTCGGGTGCCACGGAGAGGCTCTTCAGCACCACGGGGTCCTTCCCACCACCGCAGTCCTCCCAGGCAAAGCCACCAACCTGCAGCACCGAGGGACAGGAGGAGTTAGAGCCCAGGGGTGAGCCTTGCCTTGGGTTTGTAGGAGGTTTCCCCAGTGCTGGACCCCCAAAGCTCCTAATACACACATCTGCTCACAAACACAGCCAGAAAATGACCCCCAGCACCCTCTCAAACACCAAATAAATATTTCCCTCTGCATTTCTTGCACTCCCAGCTCCCCGAGCCTGAGGGCATTGCAGAAACTCTCCATCCAACCGCAATTGCCACAACCTCCTTTCATGTACTTCTCACCCAAAGAGGGTTCCCAGGCTGCGATTTCCAAACCAGCCCGGGCTCAGTCTCCGAATGCTTCCTTTGCAGGCGAACAAGGTGAGAAGTATCCTTCAAGCTATCGCCAGCAGCACCGAGTAAGGTGTTTGAGAGCAGGTGGTGACCAGGGTGGCTGTGCTGGCCAGGGATGCTGTGCCCTGCAGGGGCTCCGGGGCCAGCACAGGTCCCAGCTTGGCCAGGACCAGCCCGGCTGTTGCAAGTCCTCATCCACCAGCTCTGGTCCCACACAGGAGCAAGAATCACACTCACACCATCACCATGAATATGGCTCAACGTTTCCATCTCTGCTCATGCTCAGGGGACAGACGAGCCAGGCTCATCCCCTGCCTGAAACACCCCAGGAGCCTGATCCTCAGTCAAAATGAGCTAGAGAATGCACTGGCAGAGTTCACAGTCCTGAGGGAAATGGGTCAGGAGAAGAACAAAGTCAAGACCCTGAATTTTAGGAAAGCAAACTTCCAGCTCTTCAAGAAGTTAGTCAATAGGACCCCTTGGAAAACTGCTCTCAGGGGCAAGGGAGCAGAACAGAGCTGGCAGATCTTTAAGGATGCTTTCCATAGGTGCAAGAGCTCTAGATCCCCAGGTGTGAGAAATCAGGAAAGGAAGGCAAGAGATTGGCATGGCTGAGTCGAGACCAGCTGGTGAAACTAAAGGGTGAGAAAGAGGTGCCCAGGCAGGGGGAGCAGGGACAGGAATCCTGGGAAGAGTACAGGGGCACTGCCCGGTTGCATAGGGGTGGCATCAGGAAGGGCAAGGTGCAGCTGGAGCTGAACTTGGCAAAGCTAAAGGGTGAGAAAGAGGTGCCCAGGCAGGGGGAGCAGGGACAGGAATCCTGGGAAGAGTACAGGGGCACTGCCCGGTTGCATAGGGGTGGCATCAGGAAGGGCAAGGTGCAGCTGGAGCTGAACTTGGCAAAGGATGCAAAGAATAATAATAATAATAAGGGCTTCTATAGGTATGTCAGCCAGAAAAGGAAGGTCAAAGAAAACGTGTTCCCCCTGGTGAGCAAGACTGGCAAATTGGTAATGAGGAGGAGAAGGCTGAGGTACTCAACAACTCTTTTGCCTCCGTCTTCACTGGCAACCTCTCTTCCCACACCTCCCGAGTGGATGGACCACAAGGCAGGGACTGGGGGAGAAAAGTCCCTCCCACTGTAAGAGAAGAACAGGTTTGTGACCACCTGAGGAACTGGAACATAGAGAAGTCTATGGGACCCAATGAGATGCATCCCAGAGTCCTGAGGGAACTGGCTGATGTAGTTGCCAAACCACTCTCTGTGATACTGGAAAAGTCAGGGCAGTCAGGTGAAGTCCCCAGTGACTGGAAAAAGGGAAACGTTGCACCCATTTTGCCCAGAGGGGTGGCAGATGCATGGAAACGTGCCCTGCAGGGGCTCCGGGGCCAGCACAGGTCCCAGCTTGGCCAGGACCAGCCCGGCTGTTGCAAGTCCTCATCCACCAGCTCTGGTCCCACACAGGAGCAAGAATCACACTCACACCATCACCATGAATATGGCTCAACGTTTCCATCTCTGCTCATGCTCAGGGGACAGACGAGCCAGGCTCATCCCCTGCCTGAAACACCCCAGGAGCCTGATCCTCAGTCAAAATGAGCTAGAGAATGCACTGGCAGAGTTCACAGTCCTGAGGGAAATGGGTCAGGAGAAGAACAAAGTCAAGACCCTGAATTTTAGGAAAGCAAACTTCCAGCTCTTCAAGAAGTTAGTCAATAGGACCCCTTGGAAAACTGCTCTCAGGGGCAAGGGAGCAGAACAGAGCTGGCAGATCTTTAAGGATGCTTTCCATAGGTGCAAGAGCTCTAGATCCCCAGGTGTGAGAAATCAGGAAAGGAAGGCAAGAGATTGGCATGGCTGAGTCGAGACCAGCTGGTGAAACTAAAGGGTGAGAAAGAGGTGCCCAGGCAGGGGGAGCAGGGACAGGAATCCTGGGAAGAGTACAGGGGCACTGCCCGGTTGCATAGGGGTGGCATCAGGAAGGGCAAGGTGCAGCTGGAGCTGAACTTGGCAAAGGATGCAAAGAATAATAATAATAATAAGGGCTTCTATAGGTATGTCAGCCAGAAAAGGAAGGTCAAAGAAAACGTGTTCCCCCTGGTGAGCAAGACTGGCAAATTGGTAATGAGGAGGAGAAGGCTGAGGTACTCAACAACTCTTTTGCCTCCGTCTTCACTGGCAACCTCTCTTCCCACACCTCCCGAGTGGATGGACCACAAGGCAGGGACTGGGGGAGAAAAGTCCCTCCCACTGTAAGAGAAGAACAGGTTTGTGACCACCTGAGGAACTGGAACATAGAGAAGTCTATGGGACCCAATGAGATGCATCCCAGAGTCCTGAGGGAACTGGCTGATGTAGTTGCCAAACCACTCTCTGTGATACTGGAAAAGTCAGGGCAGTCAGGTGAAGTCCCCAGTGACTGGAAAAAGGGAAACGTTGCACCCATTTTGCCCAGAGGGGTGGCAGATGCATGGAAACATTCCAGGTCGGGTTGGACGGGGCTCTGGGCAACCTGATCTAGTTGAAGATGTCCCTGCTCATTACAGGGGGGGTGGACTAGATGACCTTTAAAGCTCCCTTCCAACCTGAACTATTCTATGATAATGAAAATCCACACACAGGGGATGTCACCTGGACGGGGGGACAACACTTGTGTGTCCTGGCTGGGCTGGGAGCCATGCTGGGAGATATCCCCAGTTTCCTCCCAGTCCCACCAGTCCCCTCAGCCACTGCCAGCAAAGCCACGGGCTGGCAACAGCCCCAGAGCCCTTTGCTCCCACAACCCACGTCCAAAGGCGGGGGAGATGGCGGCACTTGCCTGCAACAGCCATGAGTGGATGGATCACAAGGCAGGGACTGGGGGAGAAAAGTCCCTCCCACTGTAAGAGAAGAACAGGTTTGTGACCACCTGAGGAACTGGAACATAGAGAAGTCTATGGGACCCAATGAGATGCATCCCAGAGTCCTGAGGGAACTGGCTGATGTAGTTGCCAAACCACTCTCTGTGATACTGGAAAAGTCAGGGCAGTCAGGTGAAGTCCCCAGTGACTGGAAAAAGGGAAACGTTGCACCCATTTTGCCCAGAGGGGTGGCAGATGCATGGAAACATTCCAGGTCGGGTTGGACGGGGCTCTGGGCAACCTGATCTAGTTGAAGATGTCCCTGCTCATTACAGGGGGGGTGGACTAGATGACCTTTAAAGCTCCCTTCCAACCTGAACTATTCTATGATAATGAAAATCCACACACAGGGGATGTCACCTGGACGGGGGGACAACACTTGTGTGTCCTGGCTGGGCTGGGAGCCATGCTGGGAGATATCCCCAGTTTCCTCCCAGTCCCACCAGTCCCCTCAGCCACTGCCAGCAAAGCCACGGGCTGGCAACAGCCCCAGAGCCCTTTGCTCCCACAACCCACGTCCAAAGGCGGGGGAGATGGCAGCACTTGCCTGCAACAGCCAGCCCTGAACTTGCCACAAGCCAGCGGTGAGAGCCCAACCCCAGCTCCTTCTTCCCTGAGCAGGCTCCAGCCTAATTACAGCTCTTTTCCTGGCAGGAGGACGCCCGGGCTGGTTTGGCTGGGGCGGCCCATGTCCCCATGTCACGGGGTGGGGGGGGGCCCGGGGGCTTTCCGTGCCTGCTCAGCAGCCGCAGAACCGGTGGAGGCTGTATTACCTGGTGCCAGGCCGCAGGCCCAGCGGGCAGCGCTGCCCACACAGACCAGGAGCCCGTCCCGACACCCCTCTCCCCAGCCCCGGGGAGCAGCTCAGGGCAGGACACGGGGTTCAGGGCAAGCCAGGGCAAGGGGGCTGACTGCGCCCCGACATTTAGCAAGAGCTGGGAGCCCCTCGAGAGCCTGCGGGGAAAGAGTCTCCCCAGGAGCTAACACACAGGGGTGTGTGGCTGCACGTCGCGGTGCTGCACCCCACAGAGCCCCCTCCAGCCTCCCTACCCAGCTCCCCCTTCACTGGAAAATAAAGAAGAGATATTCCCCTCCGCACCGCCTGAGAGTCACGCATCTTAATCACCCGTATCTTAATCAGCGCCTGTTGATGAGCCCGGCCCAGCGCTGCGTGGGAACCTGGAGGCAGCAGCCTGAGCTGGTTTGCCGGAAAATGTTCCCCAACAAGGGAGGGAATGAGGTGGTTTGCAGGAAAATGCTCCCCAACAAGGGAGGGAAGGAGCTGGTTTGCAGGAAAATGCTCCCCAACAAGGAGGGAATGAGCTGGTTTGCAGGAAAATGCTCCCCAACAAGGAGGGAAGGAGCTGGTTTGCAGGAAAATGCTCCCCAAAAGGGAGCACGGAATGAAAGCCAAGGTGCTGGGAGGCTGTGGGGAAAGCTCCACCGAAGGCAGCGAGGCCTCTGGGCTTCAGGGTTCGCAACAAAACTGAAATCTCTGAAAAACTGAAAAACTCCTCCTCCTCCTCGGGGGCTCAACCCGAGCCTGCAGCCCTGCTCCCCCAATTCCAGCAGGTTTGTGGGATCCTACTCCCCCCCTCCTCTCC